TTTTCTTCCTTTTCGTAGGTCTAATACTCAGATCTACAGTATAATTTGCCTTATCAAAAAAATAACAAATAAGATTAAGGAACACAAATTATTTAAGGCAAATAGAAAAATAATGATGAATGATGGAAAACAATGTGAAGAGGTCATAACAAAAAGGTGCATAGTTAATAATTAAGCAATATAATAAATATTTGAAAAGTATATGGAGATATGCAATTATAAGTTTGCTTGTCTATTGCTTTTCATTTCCATTCATGCATGATCAGAGCACGCATTTGGAAACTGTTACAATTATCAATTGTTGCTTATCCACAATTTTGTAACAGTCACTAACTACAAGTGTGTTGTAACTTATTTGAATATTCTCTTTCTATCCAAATCCAAATAAAAGTAAAATAATTTGAAGGTGGACATGCTAGGGGCCTAGGATGGAAATTACATTATTACCCAAACAAAAATATTTATGAATTCTAAATTTAACACTATATTTTTATTTTGAATATGAATCTTAATATGATTTTATTTGGCTAAAATTATGTCCGAAATTGTAATTTGCCTAATCTTGGTTTGGGGTTCCTTAAAAAAATATTTAAATATTGGATATCATACTGGATATCATATTTCGAGTTCAAATAATTTGATTTGTTTTACCATCTTAACTTAAATAGATATGCCAAGAAAATGAATATTAAATTAAATAAGAAACTATCAATATAAAAAATTATCAAGGCACCATGGTGAATTTTTAAAATAAAATTTTCTTCTTTTTCGTAGGTCTAATACTCGGATCTACAGTATAATTTGCCTTATCAAAAAAATAACAAATAAGATTAAGGAACACAAATTATTTAAGGCAAATAGAAAAATAATGATGAATGATGGAAAACAATGTGAAGAGGTCATAACAAAAAGGTGCATAGTTAATAATTAAGCAATATAATAAATATTTGAAAAGAATATGGAGATATGCAATTATAAATTTGCTTGTCTATTGCTTTTCATTTCCACTCATGCATGATCAGAGCACGCATTTGGAAACTGTTACAATTATCAATTGTTGCTTATCCACAATTTTGTAACAGTCACTAACTACAAGTGTTGTAAATTGCTTTACAGGTTGCTTTCCCCGTCTTGGAGAATTTGGTAATTGGGAAATTGCCTAACATAATAGAGATATGGGAGAAGGGATTACTCATAGCCTCAGAAAACGAATCAAAGTCTTGCCGACTGAAAGATTTGGAGGTTTCTAATTGTGAGAAATTGGTTCATGTGGTTCGGTTCAATATGCTCCCACGACTGCAAAATCCAGAAACATTCAAGGTAGACAATTGCCCAAAGATGGAAGCAATAGTCGCGGAGAAAGAAAAAGAAAAAGGAACCACTAGTAATGATATCATCGCGTTCCCTCAATTAACCACTCTTAATCTTTCGGAGTTGGCGAGCCTTAAAAGTTTCTACAACTGGCCTACAAGATTTGAAGCACAACCCTTGTTCAACCACCAGGTTTGATTTTCCTAATTTATTTTATTAACCCTGTCTATGAGAAAGTGTGCACCCAAAAAAAATAAATTAAAATTCTGTAACGCCCTCAAAATAACAACAATAAACCCATCTAATAAGCGTGCCCAAAAAAAAAAAAAATTAAAATTCCTTTTCAATTACAATTTTAAATTTGAAACTTATTTGAATATTCTCTTTCTATCCAAATCCAAATAAAAGTAAAATAATTTGAAGGTGGACATGCTAGGGGCCTACGATGGAAATTACAATATTACCCAAACAAAAATATGTATGAATTCTAAATTTAACACTATATTTTTATTTTGAATATGAATCTTAATATGATTTTATTTGGCTAAAATTATGTCCAAAATTGTAATTTGCCTAATCTTGGTTTGGGGTTCCTTAAAAAAATATTAAATATTGGATATCATACTGGATATCATATTTCGAGTTCAAATAATTTGATTTGTTTTACCATCTTAACTTAAATATATATGCCAAGAAAATGAATATTAAATTAAATAAGAAACTATCAACGAGACAGAATCAGTGCTATTGTCTTGTCTCCGAATTCGAGGTCGTCAACGATCCTTTCTCAGAGGTCGTTCCGGATCTTGGCGCACAACCTGTTGGGATTTTGCCACCTCCAGGGCTAAATCTTGTCGAAGGCGCTCATTCTCCGCCATCATGTTCTCCAACCTCTGTTTGTTTTGCTTCGCTTGATCCATAATTGCTTTCATTGTCTCATGTGCTGATGTCGAGGGTGAGGTTGGGGTAGCTGAGTCGATGTTCAAAGCTCTTCGTGCGTTAACGTTTTCTGGTCCAAGCAGGTTGCTTGGAGTGGTATCAACTTGTGGTGTAAGGTCGTCAGCGACTGCCGGAGGATCTTCCTTCACACCCGCCATGGATGTGCTGGAGTAATTCCCACAGATGGCGCCAATTGTGGTGATGTGGTTTGGAAATACTCTTTGAATCCAATGTGACACTCGAGATCCTCAGCCAATCACCTGAAAAGGAATGAACACTCCGGTTGGTGGTGTCAGAATTAGCACTCCGACGGATAAGTCAGTATATATCTCACGTTTTCTTAAGTCTTAAGTTTCTTGGATTTTTTCACTCATACCTCTATTTTGGCTGTCCTTCCTTTATATATACTTGTTCTGTGGGCCTCAGGGTCTGGCCCACTTTTAATCCACCATGTGAATGTTCACTCGGCTTCTTCCGTCATGAATCAATTCCCACTCGGCTCCTTGCTTAACTAGTTTTGCGATCGACTAGGATGTTCGGCTTCCGAGTGATGCAAGATGGGGCGAATGAGATGTTCACATAATAAGCTTCCAAGTATGTACTTGGCCTTTCTGCAATCATCAAAACTCGGCTCCCACACAATGTTTTAGGAGACAAAAGGTTAAGTTTAATCTATAAATGGAATAAAGCAATAATACTCAAAAAACTAAACACATAATGAAATATAGATATCTTACAAAGGGTGAGATCCCCAAGGATGGATCTAGGGGGTGTAGAGGGAGGCGACCACACTCCCAAAAATTTAGAAAATATCATATATTATGTTAGAAAATTTAAAATAATTAAAAATAATAAGGATTTACACCTCCAAATATACGTGAGACCTACCTTTTATGAGATATCTGTATCTCATTTTTTGTCTTGTTTAGTCAAGCCTTCACGTCATGCTGTGGTAGCTTTATCTAGCCTAAAATTAAAAAAAAATTGTAATTCAAAAGCATGATCCAGGTTTGATCCCAAGACTTTAAGTTTCATTAAGAACAATCTTACCACTTAGGCAACATAAATATTATGATATTAATTTTTTTTTTATTTATTTTTATTCTGACTTATCTGAATTGCACACGCATTGCGTGTGTCACTTGCTAATCATTATTTACATGATTTATCATTTTTAATAAACAAATCTATATATGTATATATTTTTATTTTGAACATTTTGATCATAAATTTGGATAGAAATTTGGAAAGACAATGGGAAATAAAAAAAAATAATTTATATTTTGTTGACATTGCTTTTACAATATTTTTTTTTTAAATCTTTACTTAAATTCATAATCCACACATATAATAAAATTTTGGCTCATCAATATGAGAAACATGTCTCATCAATCATTACTGACGTTGAATTCCAATATACAAGCCTATTTCATTCTATTATAAAACAAGATGACTAAATGAATCTTTGCAGGTTTCTTTCCCAAAGTTGAAGACACTAGTTCTCGATAATTGTGTAAACTCAAGAGGGATACATCCTTGGAATCTTCAGGCTAGCAAAATAAGTTTAAAATTCTTGGACGTAGCGAATCTGGACAAGTTAATTGTGAGAAATTGTAGTGAGGTGGCAGAGGTTTTTCAACTTGAGGGGCTAAATGTTAGAGAAGGACAACATGTTAGGCCATTAATTGAAGTAAGAATGATGGAATTGGATGGATTACTTCAATTGACATGTTTGTGGAACAAGGATCCCCGTGGAATTCTGGGCCTTCAAAGCCTACAATACCTAACAATTAAGAAATGTTCCCTCTTGAGAAATCTATTCACATGTTCCACCGCCATGGCTCTTCAACAACTTAAAGTACTTTATTTGGAGTCCTGTCCAATGATGGAAGAAGTTATTGCAGCAACAGAGGATGGGCTCAAGGAAGTGATTGATGTGATTGAATTCCCAAAGTTGGAGTGGCTAATACTGAAAGATCTACCAAACCTCAACAGTTTCTGTAATGCAAACTATAATTTTAATTTGCCATCATTAAACAGAGTTGTTCTGAAGAGGTGTCCGGATATGCACAACTTTACTTTGGGACAAGTGCGCATGTCACAGATATTTGTAAGTACAGGTGGCAATGAAGGCCTTTGGACAGAAGATCTCAATAAGTATTTAGAGGAACGACTTCTGAAAGGAGAGGTAGACTTTCTTTTTCAACTTGATTTACGGTTAATTATTTTTGTCAGTTGATGAAAATGTTATTATTTTGAGGGCGTTACACAAACTTTTTATCACAAATATATTTATGTTGTTCTAACAAGGGAATATGTATTAAGACATTGTTTATGCTTAATGAAATGACTTTTTCCTGTATTTGCATTAGAAGATATTTATATATAAAATTATTTCCAAGAAGGAAATCTCCTTGCATATAAGGAAAAAATAGAATTTTTTGTATAATGAACTTGCTATCATTTAACCAAATAGCTATATTTTTAGTCTAGAATTGTATGGAAGTATGATTGCCATCAATTTTAGTAACCAAAATTAGATGTTTCATTAATGTCAATTTTCTTTTGGTATGACATTTTATTTATAGCTCATGTATCTATGAGTATAGCGACCCCGGTCTTTTCCCATTTGATTATTGTATCCGGACTTGGGTTCCGTTTATTCTGTCATTGTATATTTGTTGTTGTCGTCCTTTATTTTCTCATTTGGAGTTATAGGATGTGTTGGGCAGGTTTGTTTCAGGTTGGTTGGGTTCGTAAACCAAGTGTTGCTGTCCAGTTTTTGGGTTGGTCGCTCGAGCCAGGATTTGGTCGCTCGAGCGAGGTTTGTTTTTGTGTCTTCTAGCTCGATCCAGATTTGCTTCGCTCGAGCGAGCGACTGCGTCTAGTATAGACCTGAGGGCAGTGCTTATTCGCTCGAGCGAGATTGTCACGACCCCAAACCGCCCCTAGTAGTTTGGTGCCGTGATGGCCAGTAATCCGTAATTACCGAAGGCCAACTTTGAAAACTAAACACAATCAGAGTATAAATAAACGGGGCTCACAAATGCGGAAGTAATAAATCAATACAAGTGGTCCATAAGAGCTGTGCATAAATAAAATGTAATTTCAAGCATCTTTACATCACTATAATACATTCAAGCCTTTAAGCTAAGTACAAAACGAATGTTACATCTTGATCAAGAGGCTTCTCGGCCGACATATACAAAATACAGCAATTACAAGTCAAGAAGCATAATTTTCAAGATTTCGCCGACGTAACAAAAATAGCGCCGACGTGAATACAAAATAAGGCCGACAAGATCAAAAATCCCAAAACAAGCTTTTCAAGCACATCTAGGCGTCGCCGCCGACCTGCTCATCACCTACATATATATAGAGAGGGGTGAGCTTGGATACTCAGTGAATGGTACTCATAATAAAGGTTTTCATGAATGTAGCCGAGGTCCTTCAAAACGAGACATGCCATAATAATACGAATAATAGCTGAGATTCTTACAAGGCAATACACATCAAAACTTTATGGAAGCAAGGGATGAACCGTATTCATCTGTCAAGTCTCACAAGTATCAAGAGATGTTTACTAACATCGGCGAAACAAGGGATGAACCGTATTCATCCATCAAATAGTCAAGTACCAATAGATGCTTACTGACATCGGCAAAACAAGGGATGAACCGTATTCATCAATCAAATAGTCAAGTACCAATAGATGCTTACTGACATCGGCAAAACAAGGGATGAACTGTATTCATCAATCAAATAGTCAAGTACCAATAGATGCTTACTAACATCGGCAAAACAAGGGATGAACCGTATTCATCAAGTAATTCTTACAATATCAAGAGATGTTCACTGACATCGGCAAAACAGAGGATGAACCATATTCATCATTCTTTAACCAAGGGTACTGCGAAAGTTTAGAGTCCTCCAGCCAGGGACTTTCAAGACAAGATCGGCTGCGAAAGTTTAGAGTCCTCCATCTAGGGACTTTCAAGAAAAGATAGGCTGCGAAAGTTTAGAGTCCTCCAGCTAGGGACTTTCAAGACAAGATAGGCTGCGAAAGTTTAGAGTCCTCCAGCTAGGGACTTTCAAGACAAGATATCAAGATGAAGCTTATACTGATACATTAGAATAGGGCCATACATTCATGCTTAGCAAATATTTTCATCAAACAAGCAAAACAAGATTTATCAAAACGGTATAGCATAGCTTTATTAAAAGCACCACTCACCTAGTTCTTCAGGTGTAGGCTCAAAGCAAAGATCAAGATCCTCAAAACTCGAACCCAACGGATCAAACCACGAAAATCAAGCTTGGAAGGCTTACTCTCACTCAAGAACTTCTCTTCTTCCTCTAGAGCTTCTCTCTCTAAACAAAACAAAGTTTTGAGACCAAAAATGATTTGTCTCTAAGTCTGCCGGCTGTCTTAACAGCTAGCTCGGACACATGGCGCTATCGGGTTGGCTCAACTCAAAAAGGTGATTGATAGACAAGACAGGTCTCTGACAAAACGTATGCGGTAAGCTCGGACAAACACATCGGCAAGAAATGACATCGGCTCAAATAAAAGTTCTGGCAACAGGATACAAATACCTCAGCTAGGGAGGACGGCGCTTGACTAAGCTGTGCCACACCTTGGCCGGGGTGTGCCACATCTCGGCCTAGACCATACCTGCCCAAGGGCAAGAATCACTAAGTGTAAAACATCTCGGCAAAAAGCCCGAGGTGAAGATGGTAGTCTACCAAGGTCTCAGAACAGTTCTAAGTACAAAGGTTCAAAGGTGAACTAAGTTCGGGTGACCTCGGCCTCACGTGCACACACGCCGAACAAGAACAAAACCAAGCAAGCAATACTCAAACACATCAAGGCAAGGCAAAACCTTCGAATTAACATAATAAGGCAAAATCATGCATAAATGTATGCAAGTATGACAAGAGTAAAGTAAGGGTCGTTACAGAGATTTTCTTCGCTCGAGCGAGCGAGGTGTATGTTTTCGAGTTCCTTGCTCTAGCGAGCATTCTGTCGCTCGAGCGTGCTCCAGGGTTGCAGACCTGAAGCATTGCATTCTTGGCTCGAGCGAGCTTTTATCCGCTCGAGCGAGGTTTTCGTGTGTCTGGTCGCTCGAGCGACCAAGTCTTCGCTCGAGCGAGCCTGTCAGGTTTAAATAGGCAGCAGCGTGTTTCAGATCAGTTTTTCATACACTTTCATATTCCAAAACCCTAGTTACGAGTTCTCTCTCCCTCTACACACCTTCTCTCTTAGGATTGATCTACTTAGAGTGAGTTTCTATCTTAGATCCTTTATTAAAAGATAGAGGGAGTCGAGGGCTTCTATTTAATCTGAGCATTTAGTGATTTGGAGCACATTGGAATTTGGGTATTCATTTCTGTCTTCTCCATTCGGGTTATTTTCTTCGAGGTAGGGATTTCCTACTCCATTTTATAAGTTTTGTTCTAAGTTTTGGTGTTTTGATAAGTTGGGGTTACTTTGATAATTTTGGGAAAAACCTAGTTGTTTAAATTAATTAATTTGAATAATTAATTTAAGGGAATTGGGGAATTTGGTTAAATTCATGAAATTGGGAAATTTATTGCTTCAATGGGGTAGTTGGATAATGTAAATCACTCGCCCATTGAATTGTTGATATATTTATTTCCAGTCTAGAAATAACTGTTTTGGGCTATCGGTGGAGGATAGTCGTGATTGTTGTAGACACTGCATGTGGATTAGGGATAACTGAAACTAATCATTGATTAAGTCATCAACTTTGACTGCTGAATTAATACAGACATTATGTGTATTGATTGAGTGCTGTATATGTTATGTGTTTACATACATTGTTTTGTGTGGGAGGAGATAGGGGATGTACTCCACGGTTTAGGGGAAGATAGGGGATGAACCTCTAAACCGAATTTTGTTTGGGAGGAGATAGGAGATGGACTCCATTAGCATCACTTTTATGTGTGCTTATTATATTGAAGTGTTTTTATTGATACAGCACTAAAATGTGTATCAATCTGGAAGTATGAAGTGTTTGATTTGAGACTGAGTCTCATCTGTTTGTTGACATTGGAAGAATGTGAATATGATATATATAATTCACTGCTGTAAGTTTGGCCAGGTTCTGAGCCATATTGATAAAGTTGGAAAGTAAAACGTGTCTTAGACAATAGTGTCATGAGACTGTAAAATGGAGTAATTGATTATCTTGGTTAACCATCTGTTGAATGCTATTGCTTTATTCATTGCTTATATGTGGTTTAGTATATTTCTACTGGGCTGTGGCTCACCCTATATGGGAACATCATTTTCACGTGTCTGTCAATAAGAATACTCTGATGACTAACTCAAATGATTCATTTTCTTTTATAAATGCATGTTAATGTTATGGATATAATGGGTTTATTTTGAGGGCGTTACAACTTGGTATTAGAGCGTACCGGGTTTGAATACTTTGGGTACGTGGGAAGTGATTAGTATCACAATGGGTTCGTCTCGTTTGATAGAGACTTAGTGTAATGTTATATGCTTATGTGATAACATGTTTATGTGATTATGTGGGTATGGAATGTAGTTTCTAGTATGTTGATTGGACCCTTGAGTTTCTAGTAGTCTTGTTGGAAAGGCACTTGATCACTGCTGCTTCCAACCGGAACTATAGTAACGCATTGGGACTATCATTATCCAGGAATGAAATTCGTAGGTGCTTATGTGATTATGTGCTTACGTGGAATGAATTATTGTTGTCCAATGCATTAGGACGTGAGTGTATATGTGCTAATGTCTTTGTTTCCTTTATTAGGATGTCAGGATGGGGACGAGGACGCGGTAGGCGTGGTAGGCCGGTTAGGCAGGAGGTGCTTGTGCCAGAGGAGATTCCGGCAGTTCAGGAGGGAATTGGCCAGGCTAATGTGGCCGAGCCAGTAGGCCAGCAAG